GTATAATGTTATCTTCACTATAATCATGCTCTTTAGTATTGGGTAAAGCATGATGCCATGAAAAAGTCCTAGAGTCAGGAAAAGAGAGAGAAGGGACAGACACCAACACCTATTAATATATGCCACCTAACACGTGCCAGGCACTTTACAAATCTTATTTTGTTTGATATGGGTTCAAGTCCTGAATTCTGACACTCATTAATCATATGAATTTGGGTATATCATTTCATGTCTCTGAGTCTCGGTTATCTCATTTATACAACAGGGATAATAATTGTACTCCCTGCCTTATGATACTGCTGTGGGGAAAATCACTTTGTAAACCTTACAGTGCTAATGATATGTGAGTTATTATTTTTGAACTCTAATCATGTCATGTTAGATTATAAACTCTATGAAGGTATGGCCTGTGTGATATGATCCTTCTAGATCTCCCAGAGTCTAGCCAGGGGTGAGGAACCTGAGGCCTCGAGGCCTTTTAGGTCCTTGGGTATGGCCCTTTGACTGAGTCCAAGTTTTACAGAACAAATCTTTTCATTAAGGGGATTGTTCTATGAAGTTTGGATTCAGTCAAAAGGCCACACTTGAGGATCTAGAAGGCTGCGTGTGGCCTTGAGGCCGCAAGTTCCCCACCCCTAGCTAGCACAGTGCTAGGCACAGAATAAGTACTTAATAAATATAGGATAAATTGAAGCAGAAATATAGATAGAAGGTAACTCCTTGAGGGGAGGGACTATTTCTTGTTTGTCTTATATCCCCAGTGCCTAGCACAAAGCCTGGCACATAGAAGGCACTTAATAAATGTATGTTGACTGATTTATTGCCACCATTAAGTTCTGCAGGAGATTAACAAGCCTGGCATTTATATTATCGTGGAGGGAAAAAATGCCTTGCCTAGTATACAAATGAAACGTGAAATTAGAAAAGAAATATTTATTCCTAAAGAACATACAAAATCACATCTAATATATCAAATTATTGTAATTCATATTATAATAAAGACTCAAACTGCAACTTCACAAATTACAACTTGAGGTAAATCGTAACACTTGCATAACGTGACATTTTTAAATCACTTGCAAAATGCAGCTCTTTTTTTTGCTGCACCAAGTTGGGTATAATATACAGATGACACCTTTGGGGTTAGAAGTGTTTAGTGGAAACAATAGTTGCTCTTTTTCTTCTTTCTACCTCTGTCTCTTTCTCTCTTTCTCTTTGTCTCTATCTCTGTCTTGGTCTCTTTGTCTCTGTCTCTCTCTATGTCCCTGTCTCTGTGTCTCTGTCTCTCTTTCCTTGTCTTGCTGTGTTTCTGTCCCTGTTTCTGTCTTTCTCTACACGGCCCCTCTAAAGGAGCTGACAACCCTTCCCACTGCTCACTAACTTCACTGGAATTTCAGGGAAATCAGGAGATCAACCAGCAGTTAGGTTGATAATGATCTCTCTTTGAACATGACTGAAGTATAAAATGTATCCTCTGGAAATAGGAAGTTGAATCTAAATGTAATGAATCTGCTCTCCAAGATAGGTTAAGCATTTCTTTGGAGAGAAATAAAGGCAGTTCTGTTACCTATCAGGACAGTCACTTGTACTGACTGTAGTTTAAAATGGTGTTCCATGTTAAATATTCAGGTTTATCCTCCTGCTTCTCCTCTACAGAAAAGAAGGGTGGCATAGTAGGTAGAGCATTGGACTTGAAATCAGGCAGACCTGGGTTTCAATTTCATCTCTGTTATTCACTAACTGTGTGACCATGAACAAGTCTCCCGACCTCTCTCCTACAGGTCATCTTTCTCTCCTCTATCTCAGATACCACCCTGGTACGAGCCCTGATCAATCATCCCTGACCAAGACTATTGTAAAACCCTTCCAACTGTCTCCCTGTCTCAAGTACATTTTCACTCCAACCCCTCCTCCATTCAGTGACAAAGTACCAGCCCTGATCTTGTCACCCTTCTACTCAATGAACACCTTTCCTTGCTATGCCTTTTAACTGGCTGAGCCCTGTGCCTGGAATGATCACCATTCTCACCACCATCTCCTGGCTTCCTTTCCTTCCTTCAAGATTCAGTTCAGATCCCACCTTCTACAAAAGGCCTTTTCCAGTCTCACCCCTTCCCCATTCCTCCTAAAGCCTTCCCTTTGAATTTATTTTCCACTTAGACTGTAACAACAATATAACTTGTAGGTCCATAATTGTTTGTACATTGTCTTCATTAGAATGTGAGTTCTGGGATGGCAGAGACTTTTTTTTTTTATCAAACTTTATATGCTATGGGTTTAGCCTAGTGCCTGGTACATCAAAGTAAGCTCTTAATTGCTTGTTGACTTGATTTAGCTAGCTGTGTGACCTTGGGCAATACACTTAACCTGTCCAGGACTCAGTTTCCTTAGCAAAATGAGGCAACTAAACTGAATAACATCTAAGGTCTTTCCAAATCTAATCTATTATCCCATTTGTTGTAGATACAAAGAAGCAACAGAAAAAAACCTCATCTTTGCCTGGCCTTCAGGAAACCACTAATACTTCATGTCCAATAGAACCAGGATTATAGAGAGAACTCTATGTTTTTTTAAGTTCTAGTTCGTCTTATGAGATGACTTAAATTGATGTTTTTGTGAACATTAAAACAGCAAAGAAAAAAAAATTATCAGTCAGGATTAAGGAAGGCCTTGATCCACATTTCTACACAAATTGTAAACAATCAAACAAATCAGAGCTTGGTTAAAATGATTATCCAATCAAAAAATTCAGGCCACACAAGAATGTCCAATCCATATTCTTTTTTTGGGGGGAGGGGGCGAAGAGAGAGGGAAGCATACCTTTCTTGTTTATTTCTTGTTTATGTTTCTTTCTTTTTCTTTTTTTTTTTCCAGAAGTTCTTTTAAAATCAATTTAGATGATCTTATAAGACATGTTCTGGAAATAGGCTTCCTGATAAAGTATAGCACTATATCCCAAATTAAGCAGATTGCTTAAAGGAATGCAAGCTGGGCAGCAGCAGATCAGAGGACGGATGAAGATGTAAACTGATAGAACTAGGGCATATTGGTCCTTTGTTGTAACCCATAAAGCCTGAAAGGATTTCTGTTCAAGGTTATTTGCACAGCTGTTCCAGGCTCCTTTGACTTCCATTTGGGAGAGAGGAGGTCCTTAGGCATGAAGCTACAGCCTTCACTGTCTTATCAGCTCGTAGAATTCTATGAAGTAAATACTTGGGCCATGAGAGAAGAGTCAGTAGGCACTTACCCCATGCCTTGGGTGTTAAAAGCAGACAGTTGAAGGCTGAACAAAACTAACTATACAGAAAATGTCAGAATTGCCTGGAAAAGCTGTGGCTTCTGAATGCTTTTTGAAGCCTAATTCATGCATCAAATTGCACTGACACAGGCCTCTTTGCCTGCCATTGTGATATGGACACTTTACAGCCGCTCACCCTCATTAGATGCCAGGCATATGGAGTGAGAAGAAATGCAAAGATCTCATGGAGCAGACTAGGAAAGATTAAGTCTCTTGGTTTTTTCAAATAGGCATTTGAGTGATGGCGCTTACCCTTTACTTTCTAGTCAGTTCTGAGGCTACTTCACTGTTCTGAAAGACTGACTTTTTCTAATACAACAAAGCATATATTCCAAATTGCTTTTTTTTTTTTGTTTAACTGTAGCTCCTTTGATCCTGGTATTTATATTTATGCTTCAAAGGAAGGGGTCCATGATGCCCCAAGGCAATGAATGGCCAATGCATATCACACAGCAAGCTAACAAAATGGACTTGGTTGAAAAGAAGACTAAAAGAGCCATTCTCTCTCAAGTTTCATAAAAACATTTCTATGCTGACATCTTGTGTTGTCTTGTCAGCACTTTGCCATATTTGCCCATTAAAGAAGATTGTATTTTCCCCTTTGTGCCTTGGGGTAAAATGGAAGTAAGTCAACTTCCTTGAGGGCAGCTTGGTGGCACAGTGGATCACTGGACCTGGAGTCAGGAAAACCTGGGTTGCAATCCAGTTTCCAATACTTACTAGCTGTGTAACCCTGGTTTTATTGTTGTTTTTCAGTCATTTCTGACTCCTGGTGATCCCATTTGGGGTTTTCTTGGCCAAGATGCTAGAGTGGTTTGCCATTTCCTTCTCTAGTTCATTTTACGGATGAGGAAACTAAGGAAACAGGGTTAATTGACTTGCCCAGCGTCATATAGCGATTAAGTATCTGAGGCCAGATTTGAACTCACAAAGATGAGTCTTCCTGACCCTGGGCAAGTCACTGGACAGGACTGAAAAACAACAACTTCCTTGACAGTAGGAATGACCTTTTCATGCTCTTTATATGGCACCTTGTATAGAATTGAATTAATCAAGGATCAGCCCCTTTCTTAGAACTACTGAGTAATTTACTGAATGATGCTTCTCTTCCCATTTGATTTGACCAAAATGTATACCATTTTGGTCACAGAAACAGAGGTTTTAAAAAGCCTAAACCCACAATTTGAGTAACTCCAAATTCCATCAGCAGGCACAACAAGAATGACAATAATTAACCAAAACCAGGGGTGGAAGAGTGGAAGAGAATAGATTGTATGTCCATAAGTCATGTTAGCCATAAAGAGTTAAAGGAATACAGAAAGGAGAGAAGATTGCTTACAGAACGTGGTCTATCGTCGCAGCATGGGCGACTCTTAATTCTTAATTACTTGTTTTTGTAGGTTCCATTACCAAGAAAATACTTAAAACAGGTATGAATATAAAATAAATGAAAGTAATGCCAGGTGCTGTTTAATTAAATTCTTGTTTTCAAGCAGACATTTCCAAATGCCTGGAAGCACAGAGGTAGCACACACAGGCAACTGTCAGTTCTCGAGACTTGAATGACATGTTTTCCATTACCGATGCCTCTCCAATTATGGTTAGGAAAACATAACAGGTGATAACTCGGCATACTGTATCTGAGCATGCACATGCACGCGCACACACATTAAAAACTCAGAAGCTGTGTTCCCAGACTGACCTTCAGGTTGGTATTGTGCTATGATCGTCACCGTCTGCCCTGCCCCCTTTAGGGCTGCCGCAGCCTGCTCATGGGAGGCACCGCGAAGGTCAATGCCATTCACCTGCAAGAGAAGATGATGAAGATGTTTCACTAGGCATGATAATGTGAACACAGAAAAAAAGTGAACAACCTGGGAACCTAGGATGCAAAGAGGTTGGGTAAGTGAGGGTCCATGGAACACCTTGGAAACTTCCCTTCTTCTTTCTCACAGATTAAAAGGCTATCAAAGTTGGAAGTGACCTCAGCAACCATCTTGTCCAATCCATAATGGAAAAAGAATCCCTTATCTTCAGGAAGATCAATATGGCACAGAGTAAACAACAATAAAAATATGCAAAGTAAAAATAAAGTAATATGGGAGGGTACTAATAACTAGGAGGGAAGCATCAGGAGAGGCTGATACTTGGATTTGAGACATGGAAGAAGCTAGTGATGCCAAAAGGCAGAAATGAGGGAGAACATTCTAGCCATGGATTGGTACCAATCCCAACTCAAAAGCATAGACTTGGGAGATAGCATGTCTTGTGTCGGGAAAAAGCAAGAAAATCAATTTGAATGGAAAGCCAAGTGTATGACGGTGAGCAATATGCTTGGAATGATAGGGTAGTTGTGCAGGGCTTTAAATGCCAAGAGGAGTTTATATTTTATCCTACTAGAAATGGGGAGCTACTGAAGCTCCTTGAACAGAGGAGTTGCAGTGGTAAACTTCTGCTTCTCCTTTCCATTTTATTCCATTCTCTAATCATTTAAGTGCCTGATAGGTACAAAGCATTATTCTAGGTACTAGGGGAGATTAAAGGTGAATCATAATAATTATTCATATTTATTTTCCTCAGAACAACTCCAAGAGGTAAATAGAGGAGATATTTTTAGATCCTTTTTTTTTAGCTGAGGAAAACTAGGCTCAGAGAAATTAAATAGCTCAGCAGCCAGGTGGCAAAGTTCATGGAGTTTTGGGCTTGGAGTCTGGAATAGCTGAGTTCAAATACTACCTCAGATATTTACTAACTCACTGTTTGATCTTGGACCTTAATTTGTAAAATGTGAGAATTGGACTCAATGACCTTTAAGTTCCTTCCAGCTCCAAATCTATGATTCTATGACTTTGGAGCAGGAATGGGCTAGATTGATGAGCCTAGGTCTGGGGTTTTGCTCCAGGGTACCAAATTTAGTAGTAGCTGACACCATCTACAGGGCAGCTAGGTGGCACAGTGGATGGAGCATCGGGTCTGGAGTCAGGAAGACTAATTTCCCTAAATTTTAATCTGGTCTCAGATACTTAGTAGCTTTGTGACTGGGCAAGTCACTTAACTTTGTCTCAGTTTCTTTGCCAAGAAACCCCAAATGGGATCATGAAGGGGACATAACTGAAACAACTGAACAACAGTGACACCATCTGCAGTCCTTTAGCAGCGTAGAAACAACAGTTTATCACCTAATAAAAAATGATTAAAATTGGAAGGTATCAAATGGGTGGCTTCAATGAGCTCTTTCCTCTTCCAGCCCTGCTCCCCATGGCTTATGTAGCAGCCTTAGAAGCTTTGTCTCTCCTCCAGCATGGGGAAGTGTCTATTCTGTCCTTCCCCTCCCCTGCATATTATGTAAACAAAAGATATTATGGTACTTGTCCCAAAGTGGGGGTTTGGGATAATTGTGATACAGTTCTGAATTCTAGTTCTGAAGGCCTTGTCCTTGGGGTCGCACAACTACTACCCATTAGAGCCAGGACTTGATGCCAAGCCTCCTGACTCCAGGTCCAGAATTCTTTCTACTATACCTCTGAGTAAGATGATGATCTTGACCTCAGGGAGCTTTCAATCTAAAGGGGCTGCAACATAGAAATCATTATAATAGAAGAAGAGCAAGGGCACAATAGAGGTACAAACAGAATGTCATTCGAGTGCCCTTCTGATGATGGAAAGATAATTGCCAACCTAGTGTTTCTTCCCCAATGAAAGCAGATGGGAGGAGAAGAGTGTAGGTGGGAGGAATTCCCAGGGACACAGCTTGAATGGCGGACTAGACCAAGATATGGTTCTAACCCAAGTCTGTCTAGAATTTGACTAGATTCACACATCTGGCCTTCTTTCAGAGCGACATTAAAACCCATGTCTGGTAATGTTTTTGTCTGGCTTCACTGGAAACTATTTCCTGCTTCCCCACCTCTGCTAGGATTTTAGTGTATGCTGGAACTTGGCTTATGTAAGTTGTCTAGGGTGCTAGAATAGACACCTGCCATTCAAATGAGAAGAAAACAAAGTAAAAATTATATACTGCTTAAAACAAAAAAGAAAGAAAGAAAGAACAGGGTAATGAGGAATGACAAACATATACCCAGAAATTAGTGCAACTTAGGGGTGTCATTTTGTGGTGATTATTTTTTAAAAAATGGAAATGGGCTACTTATTCCCCAAACCCACTGCTAAAATCAGCAATACAGCCCTGTCCCCCTGGGGCTGACTGCAAAATTCTGTGTCTGATTCCTGAGTGAATTTGACTGCATTGTTTCTGATGCATGCTTCCAGAATGAATTTTGACAATTTGAATCAAGAATGCCTAGAGCTGATATTGTTCTCTCTCGTTCTCTCTCTCTCTCTCTCTCTCTCTCTCTCTCTCTCTCTCTCTCTCTGTCTTCTCTGTCCCTCCCCTTCCCCCTTCCAGTATTGGTTTCTATGCTGAAAGGAAGGCAGAAAGCTTAAAAAACTAAAACAAAATACTGTGAGTTAAAGGTCAATTCTTAAATACAACTGGGGATAGGAAGCAAAAGTAAAATGTTTCTTAACCTTCTGGGGATGTATTTTATGCTCATTTATCCCAGTTCTCTAGTCTAGGGAGGGTTGTATTAATAGAGAGGGTAAAAATTCTTTCCCTTCCTCTGCCCAAGGGAGATTCCTCCTAGGCCACACTCCCAGAATGGGGAATTTGGGATGATTATATTGCATCAAAATGCATCATCTTTCTGAACTGTGATCTTTTTAGAGATCTTGGAAATCCTGACCTTAAAATTCTATATCAGAGAACTGGAAGGATCTTGAAATCCCTTCTAGGGACTGGCCCAGAGCCCAATCCTTCTGTAAATGGACATCTCACCCCTCCAGGCCAGATGGCTGCTTATTCTTTCCTTGTATATTTAAAGAGATATTATTTTATCCTCATCTCCACTCCTCCATAATTCTTATATTCAACTGATTTTCCATCTGCTTTTAGGTGAATTTGTTTCCATTTCTTTGGTTTTCTATAGCACAGTGAACAATTCTTCATGAGACCAAAGGATCATAAATTGGTCACCTAAAAAGTTTCAACCCTATCACTATATAACTGAGGAAACTGAGGCCCAGAGAGGTTAAGTAATTTATCCAAAGTTACCAAGGTAGTAAGTAGCAGAGCCTGAAATTGAACCCTGGGGCTTCCGACTCCCAAACACTATACCACATCAACCTCCTTCTAAAATCTCATCATCTATCTGATGGCAGCTATTAACAATCTCTTAGCCTGCTCTACCTTAACTAAACAGACATTTCTTTCACTTTATCTTGAAGAAATATCCTTTAATTTTTCTTCCTTTTAAAGATTCTGGCAAATTTCCCCATTCTTCCTAAGGCACAGAGGTGACTGAAAAGTAGTGTACTGGGAAACATGAGCAGTCAGAAACTTGTAGTCAGAAATCCTGGAGAGGTCTTAGCTCTCCACCGGGTTCAGAGAAAAGTCAGCCTGGCTATGACTCCCCAGGCAACTTGTCTTCTACCCAAGCAGCCTTCTCATTCTGGCAACACTTCTGCCCCTGTGGCCTCCTCCCTTGATTGGCGAGTTCCTCTCCAAATCTCTATTTGAGGAAGTACCCACACCAGTGTTCTCACTTCAAACCTGGATCAGCCCCATAATTCCTTAGACTATTTCTTCACCTTGCCCCCGCATGGGTACCATACCCTTCCCTCTTTTTAGCTGTCTTTAATGAGTACTCATTAGAATGTAAGCTCTTTCAGGACAGGGATGGTTTTTCTTTTTCCTTGTATTTGCATTCCCAATGCTTGGCACATAGTAAGAGCTTAATAAATGTTCTCTCTCTCTCTCTCTCAATCAATCAAAAAAGATTTATTAAGCACATGCTATGTGCCAGGCACTGTGCTGAGTGTTAGGGATACAAGTACTGAGAGAAATGATTATTAAATAACTAATTGTTAATATTGGAGAGACACAGGATTTTTTTTCCTTTCGGAAACGTTATTCTCTACTAAGCCAAACCATCATTAACTTTGCTGTTAATGAGAATGGATTAATTTTCTCTTCAATCTGAAGATTGAGATCCCCAGGCAGGTGAGGAAGCCCTTTGTATTCTGCGTAGGTTTGGGCAGGGATACATTCTTTGATTAGACCTCTGAAGCCTGGGAGTGATTTGGAAGTAAATGACATGATCAAAGTCACTCACCCAGCCTTTCATTAGAATAGGTCTGCCTCTCATTATAATATTCATTCTCTCTCAATACTTGTTAATCAACCAGAATAGATTGCTACCCTCAGGAGCATCTACTCTTCCAAGGGCACATAAGTGTGGATTCTATGAGGAGTCATTGGCATTCAAGAGTGTCACTGACCCCTTTTATTAATTATATGCTAGCATGATTAATAAAATGATTAATTACCCAGAAATTATATCTCTTATACTTTTTATTCATCACAGTACAATGATTGAAATAATCAGTACTTGCAAAGAAGTTAAATTCTTTTTTTTTTTAATTTTATTATTTTTTTTTATTTTTAGGCAACTGGGGTTAAGTGACTTGCCCAGGGTCACACAGCTAGTAAGTGTCTGAGGTCAAATTTGAACTCAGGTCTTTCTGACTCCAAGGCTGGTGCTCTATCCACTGCACCACCTAGCTGCCCCTAAAGAGGTTAAATTCTAATGGAAAAGATAACATATACATCTATAAGCATACAGAGAAGAAATAGTACTTAAATAATTCGAGAGGGAGATAGTATATGATTTTGAGCAAATTAGGAAAGATTTCCTCCTAACTCCCCAAGTATATTGTTAATATATTTAACTCATTTATTTCCAGGCCT